AGCAAGAGTGGAAGCTGTAGAGACAACAGCAATTAAGATCAGGAAATTATAATGGTTTCTAGGAACAACTAAATCCACTTAAGACTCCACAGAAAGGAAGTAGTGCTGCAGGTCTGAAGGACAATCTGGGTGAACACTCAGGGTAAAATAAAAAAAAAAAAATCACTAAGGCTTTTATTATTCCAGACCGAGGATTGGGAAAGCAATGGGGATAGAGGTAGGTATGGGTAATGGGAGACAGACAGAGATAAGTAAAACATACTCCTACTAGCAAACTTTTAGTTTCCTTTGCTCACCATGTAATCATGTGCCTGATATTCCTAGCCCATAGTAGTTGAACAATAAATATCTGTTGAATAACTCATTGGAAGAATGAAAGAAATGGGTGATGGATATGTCTTCACTTAGTACAGTTCCAACTGTTAACCATGCTGCATAAAACCAATGAGTATTGTTTCAATCCATGTGCCATACCATTCATTCATTTAGTCCATACACATTAATTGAGCATTTGCTAGGTTCCAGGTACGGGATACTAGACCCTGGGTAATAACAAATAACCAGTTTTTCTGTCCTAAAAGAGTTCAGAGACTAGTAGGGGAAAAGAAATTTGTTAAAAATTATTTTAAATTCAATACAATATTTTAGGTGCTATCAAAACTACCCCAATTATCCCTCCCACCCCACACCATCCCAAGCTTCTAACGCATCAGCTGGGCCTGCTCTCTGACAAAGTAGGGAAATCAGACAGACACAGTGGAAGAAGCAGTTTCATGAGGTAGCTTCTTCCAGAAGACAAGGGATAGCTTTGCCATGACTCGATATTTGAAATAGTCTATATAAGGTAGTAATTATTTTAAATAGGGGCTTTCACATGACTTATAATGAGCACCTTGTTCTTTTCTCTCCCCCGCCCCAGCTCTTTCCTTTCACTTCTCTGAGTGGACGGACTGTTCAGGCAGGAATGATAATTCAAAATAACCTGTACTGAACCACCAGTCTGGACGGTATCAGTGCGCCCACCTGCAGCGCTGCTTCCGGGTCCCCGCTAGGCCTGCGGCTGGAGGCGGGGCCAAAGGGCGGGCGCCAGGGCGGAAGGCGGGGCCTTTCTGGATTTTCTACAGGTAGCCAATGGCCATGCTTGGAGGCGGAGCTTTTGAAAATGACCAACATGGAAAACGACCAATCAGAGCCGAATCTGGCAGAACGGTAGAGGCAGAATGTTAAACATTCACGTGTCGTTGGGGTACGAGGTGGGGGATGAGGAAGGGCAAGCTCAGGGCAGCGGCTTTTTACAAACCTATGAGAAAGTAATTCAGTTTTTTAACTGGTACGGCCATACTGGTGCATACGGTTGGATATCCGTATAGTGGCTATCCTTTTGTCTGCTAAGAGCACCACCTCCTTCTGAGAAATGCTTTATCCACTTATGTTATCAGGTAATTCAAACAGGAGCTGCCATTTACTTGTAGACCTTTTCTGCCAAGCAACAGACAGTGTTTGGTCTGGGGGTAGATACGGGTGACAGGCTGCTGGGACTGTTATTTATTCATCTTCATTACCTAGCTCAGGGTCTGGCATATATTTAGGTACTCGAGAATTGTTTAAGAATGAATGGACACACACCTCTAACTGCTGCTTCCTTTGATCCCACTTGTAAAATCTCTGCAACCGCCTGATTCTGATGTAATGGAAAGTTTAATCCTGTTTTAGCAGCTTAATATGTTTATTTAGATATGTGCATTATTTGGTTTCTTTGATAAGTTTTAAGAATTTGCTGGCACCTGTAGCTATAATATTCAAGGCCTATTTTTACTTTTTTTTCCCCCGTAGTACAATGTTTACAAACCGCAAGGTTCTTGGATTTTAACCATTTCACAGTGTTGTTGTCAGGTTTCAGGCAAAGGATATACATGAGCTTTATAAATTCTAAAGTTGATACTCTTTTTTCATTCAATGTAAAATAGTTGAGGATATTCCATGTACTGATCACAGTGTTAGCAATTATTACACAATCCTGTATTGCTCAAAGGACCAAAGGGCAGGAGCTCAAAGGCAGCACCTGGATGTGAATGAGATGATGCTGATCAAGTCAGAAGCGAAAGGGACTCAGATTCCAGAGTTCCTAAGGTCTAAATATTTGGCAGTTTCAGACAGAGACAACTCTAGCTTTCTCCTGATGGCTGCTCAGCAACCTAAGAAGATCACTGTCCTCTCCCTGGACTCAGTGTGTCTGAAAGGTGCCAGAATCATCTAGTGTATTTAAGAGGAAAAAAGTAAAAGGTGTGAGTGTGATGTTGTTGCAAGAAAGGGTTGGTCCAGGGCGACTCTGCATTCCTGTATTAGTTTTTTTTCTTTCTTTCTTTTTTTTTTTGGTTGTAAGTAACAGAAACTAACTCAAAGTAACCTAAGCAAAAAAAGGGGGGGATTTATTATAAAGAAACAATGGTGTCTGATAGAACCCAAAGGCAGAAATGTGTATGGGCCCTGAGAGAAGACTAGAGTGAGGAACTGAAAAGCTGGGACTTTTACTCTAAATCTGATTCTCTGTATACACCTACTACATTCTTCTCTCTGCTTCTCTGATCCACATGACAGTATCCTTAGTTAAAATACTTACATCATTGATTCCCCATTACTGCAATTGTTCCAGCAGAGGCTGAATGACCATCATTTGAGACTATGGTAAAAGGCATGTCCTTGTTGAGTGGGAGAAGAAAGAACAAGTTATACCTATGGTCTATTTCAAATGTAAGATATTATTATGCTACCAACTTAGGCTCCCATGTACACAAGGATTGCCTACCATTGTACATTCTCACTGTCTCTGTTAACAGCGCCACTGGGTTTTTGTTATTTTTTTTGTCTTATCTATTCCAATCTTTCCTCTTTCATGTGGTGTCAATTACTAGGTTTTTTGTTTTTTTTTTAAAGATGACCGGTAAGGGGATCTTAACCCTTGACTTGGTGTTATCAGCACCACGCTCTCCAACTGAGCTAACCAACCATCCCCATGTAGGGATCCAAACCCGTGGCCTTGGTGTTTTCAGCACCACAATCTCCCAAGTGAGCCACAGGCCGGTCCTCAATTACTAGGTCTTATTGGGTCTTCCTCCCAAAAGCCTCTCATGAAATAATACTACTTTTCTTCTAATAGCTGAAGGACAATAGAAAAGGTAACAAAAGCATGAGGTCTTTAACTTACTGGTAAAAGTTAAGGCACAATCACATCAGATGAGCCACAGGCCGGTCCTCAATTACTAGGTCTTATTGGGTCTTCCTCCCAAAAGCCTCTCACGAAATACTACTACTTTTCTTCTAATAGCTGAAGGACAATAGAAAAGGTAACAAAAGCATGAAGTCTTTAACTTACTGGTAAAAGTTAAGGCACAATCACATCAGAATTTTGAGTTGAACTTCAGTTCAAATCCTGCTTCCACCACTGCTAGCTGTGTGACCTTGGAAAAATTACTCTCTGAGTCTTTTCCCCCAACTACAAAGTGGGATCCTAATACTAAACAACCTTACTGGGTTGTTTGGTTAAATTAACTAATATCCATAAAGCACTTAGCAGTGTTTCTATTAATGCAAGGAATAACTGTAAGCACTTAGTAAAAAAATAGTTGTTATTAATATAAGTAATAATAAGTAAAAGAAACATTTGTGTAACTTCTTTTTTTAGCTTATGAAACCCTTGCACCTCCATTTTCTCATCTTATATTCAAAAAAACCCTGAGAGGCTGGTAATATCCCCACCTCGGAGATGGGAACACCAAAGGACAGAGAGATGGGAACACTTCCTTACGTGCAATTGTCTAGAGGTTGCTCCAGTTGGGAGTGAATGCCCAGTCACTGCACGTTCTATTAAGGCTCCCCTGTTACCTAGCACAGTATTTGTAGCAGAGATCCCAGCTTTTGGTAGGCTCACCAATCTTGGTGATCTCTGAGGTCCTGTACTTATTTATTCACACATACAACAAATATTTATTGACCTCTTACCAGAAACTGTTCGAAATCTGGGAATACAGCATAAAAAAACAAGCAAAAAACACAAAAATCTCTGCCTAGAAATATACGAATTAGAAAATGTTATGTATATAATATATAATATAGAAATTAGAAAAATAAAATAAGAAAATCCATAGCCTAATTTTTAGTTTTTTCACATACCCTTCATCTACGGACCTATTATCTCCCAA